GAAAAGGTCAGACGTGTTCAGCACGCCAGATCTAAAGTGGTTTATTAGCATCCCAACGACATATTCAGGAGATCGCCTGAGACATAATTACCTGGATAAGGTACAGATGAATACTGTATTTGGGGGAGAAGGCAAGGTTGGTTGGATATTGGCTTTGTCTCCATTAACCTGGAGCACGGTGTTAAAGGATCTGTTTGTGGAGAGAAAATGACAGGGATTCGGGCTGATGAGGCTGGACGTAGACAGTTAAAGGCCCCTCGCTGTATGGGATAATTAATAAATAAAATACCAGGGGAGCCCCTGCCATGCCTTCGTCTATGACAGGGGCTGTCTCCAGTGCGCTAAAGCATTAAATGACCAATTTCTGTCAGACTAACTTCCACCACACTCTCTCTCCCTCTCTCTTACACTTGCCCTCTGTCTCCACCGTGCTTTCACCCCTTCTCTCCCCCTGTTCCCTCCCTTGCTTCCTCGTTTTTCTGAAGTGGGTCTACTTTGCTCTCTTTGCACTGAGTTTTTCAGCGACTGATGGCTCTAGTTCATTTCTGCTGAATTAATTGGTCCCTGAATGAATTCTGTTGACAGGGCAATTCATCATGTGTTTGGCCTGACAGTGACTGGGTGCTGCGTGGAGTGGTGGAGGAGGTTGGAGATGTAGGAGAGTGTATGAGAGTATGTGTGTTTGATTGTACATGAGGGGTGTTGGGAGCCAATCAGAGATTTGGGGGGGTTGACAGTTGTAGCTGTAGCTTATCCTCTCCCTTCTGCATCCCTTGTCTGTTCTTCCTCTTTGTCCATCTCGAGATGCAGACGTATCTGCGCTTACTTTGAACTGTTTTCCGAAAACAGTCAGGAGTGAAAAAAACCAACCCCCCCTTCTCAGGTTGAGCTCCTGCCAAACTCAAATCCTTCTCTCAGCAGAGGGCATGCAGGTCAGGGCTACCCTGTGTTACGCACTTTGGCCCTTTGTTGCACCTCTATGCATTTCCTTTTCAGCCCTTTTGCCATTTTTCATTCACACTCAAACACACCAACACTGGCAAATCACTCCTGACTTCTTTAGACGTCTCTGGAGAGTGACATAATAAGATAGCAGGGCATGTTTTGTGCTTAATTACGTTATGTGTTACAAAACGGCCATTCAAAAAGATAATTTAGCTACTGAAGGGAAATTGTTTTGCACTGCTGACTGACCTAACAGGGGTGGGAATGGTTTACAGTAATAGCATATAGTTGGCAGATGAGGCCTGGATTGAGAAAGGCAGCAACAGCTCACAGAAAGCTCATTATTTTAATTGTGAGGCAAAGGAAGCACATGGAGCCCGAGAATCCTCTGAGCTTGCACATGGTAGGAGACCTCTTTAGGCTATGTTGAGTCAATCAATGCTCACTCATTACAAACATCACAAAGTCATGTTCCTGTCGCCTGGATGGTCTCACCCGCCAACTGAGAAAATAAGCTCATAATCAGTTTGGACTCCTTTTCTCTCTTACTCTGTGAATTGCTTTATTTTCAGTTAGATTTTTTTTTTTTTTTTACAAACCTTCATTTTGGGTTTTACGTCTTTTTGAGACATGCAGAGAAATTTAGTGTTGACCAGAATTACAGTAACTGCCTTTATTTTAAAGTGGTTCCAATAATTTTATCAATAAGCGAACGGACCATTGATACATGCTACGAATGCTCTTTGATGTCGAAGTTAAATGGAGGGTACTCAATGTGAGCCACTTCAACATGTGTTAAAAAGAAACCGTTTTGTCTATGATGTGTCAGGACATGTCTGTGGTTCTCTCAGATTTCAAGAGTGTGAGAGAGAGTAAGACTTTCAGCAGATAATAGGAAGGCTGTATGTATGAAAGCAAAATTGCTGTTTTTTGGAAACATTTTACAAATTTTAGAGATAGTTTAGGGATGAAGTTGGAGACACATGGTACGATAAAGGTATTTGCTAAACTAAGATATTAAGCAATCATTTTGTCTTTGTCAAATAAAACCTTGGTAAAAGGATATTTTAAAGCAACCGCTCTTACACGCAGAAGCTTGACGTGTCTTTACTTTAATAATACAACACGTGATGGATTTTTAGTTTTTATTCTGATTCGAATTGGCTAAAAGTGGATTTTGCATCTTCAGGCAGGGATAATAAGCAGAGAACTGCTCTAGGGACACTTTAACATCTTACACACTCTCTTTACATAAATGACAAGACACATACATCTTTTTGATTTAAAGTTGCAACGCTGGATTAATGCAGTGCTTTGTCTTCCTAACACAAATTCATTTGGGATTAACAGAGTTAACGAAGACAGCGTTGTGAACAGCACTGCTCCCTTGAAGCCTCTAATTAAAGCTGCTTCTAATGAGGGCTCGTTGATTGACACAAGAGGGTTGGCCTCTCCCCTCGCTTGCATCAACTATGACAACCACATGATGAGGACGATGACAGGCTCCCATGCAGGCGGATGACAGGACATCACAGCCAGACCACCGACGCTTCTCGACTCTGAACAATACAGTATGACACCACCAGACTCATCAAGTCTTGCTCTGTACAACTTCATGCAAAGAATGTTTTTTGTAAACGGAGTTTAAATAAAGCATAACGATTATCAGGAAATTTAGAATAGTAACAGGAGAGTTAATGTAAAGTTCTCTTTAAAGGTTAGAGCTTATGCACGCACAGGTAGAAATACACCATGCTACTTTTGCATTTGCTCTAAGCCAGACGACAACTTCTCACTCCTTCAAAACTACAGAACCATGCAGTTTTTTTTATGTTCTATGAAATTTTTGACATTAGCCCAGAGTTTTAGATATAATTTGACCCAAAAACCAAAAGGTGAATTAATATAATTAATTGCATTGTGTAAGTTCAGTTTTTGTCTTAGATTTTAGGAAATCTAGATTAAATTTTATCATATCTTCACCAATACAAGAACAGTAAATGCTTGTTATAGTATAGTAGAGGATGTTCTTTTTCCAGGTGGATCATCAAAATAAGTGTTCTTACTAATTGTCAGTCATTCTGGTGATATGTTTACATAAGGACTTCCTACGTCCTTGTTCTCATTTTCACTCACTAATGGTGAGTCTGAGATTGCGGAAAAAATGCAACTATTCTTTTGGAAAGTAAGCTTGTATGAGCGAAAAAACCCCAGCAACTTTTAAACAGAACATGCACGAGGAGAAATGGGCTCCTGCATACTCTCGTTCTCTTTTAATAGGCGTTCCCTTTTGGTAGCGGGTACAGGGTTGTGCATGCGCATTTTTTTTTTTTAAGTAGAGAGGGCAGATCTTTTCCAAAATTCGCAAAAATACTCCACTATAAATTTTAATCCAAAGAGGATTTTTTTTTTTTTTACAGTGAACATAGCTCTAATTTTCCTTTAGTGAAAACACAAGAAAGATCCTTTTTAAAGGCTTATTTTGTTTTTAGGACCGTTTAAGATTAAGAAAAGTTTCAGAAACACACCAAAGAACCCATAACTCTGCTTGAGTTAGTCTGCTCTAAGCCTCTGCTATTTGTACCCCCCAAAAAATGATAGGCATGGTTAATAGACTCATTCTAAGTGGTATTGTGTATGCAAAGGTTGTTTTCATGTTTACCTGTTGGTATGCTTTTGTTAATTATTGGGGGACAGACAAATTGCAATGTCAATATAAATTTTACTTATTTGATTTAGGTCATTCAGTCTGTATCTCCTGGCCAGAAAGTGGACATTTGAGAGTTTCACCATGTTTGTTAATGTACAAAGTTGATCCTCAACCAAACAAAAAAAAGCTAAAAAATAAAGTTTTGTCAAGTTAAGATTTAATGCTTAAAAGTAACATTTAATCCAGCTTATGATGTCTAAAGCTTTAACATTTCTCTGCTTTCTTCAGGACTGTTTCTACTTGCTAGCTGAGGCATATTTGTCTGTATATATTATCAGTGACAGACATGCATCACACCAGAGAGGCCAAGCTGTGGGGCATCAGCAGGCCACGCTGACAATGAGGGTAAAGTGTTTGAGTAAATCTCGCACCCAGCCCCGCTGGCCCCATAGTGGGGGCCTCTCTGTGTTGGTTTGAGAAGCCCCGAGGATGACAGGTGCTTTTCGTAATGCCTAACTGATGAGAGCCAATCAGTGTGCTGCGTTCTGCCTGGTGTGTGTTTCTCCTCTGCTGTTGTTGTCATCTGGCCCCACTAAAGTAAAGATGAGCTTGACTGACAGATGCATCCGGGTTCACAGTTTATTGGTTTCTCCAAGAGAGCCAGATATGCCAATTTAGACAGGGTAGTGACAAAAAAGTTCCCATCTAAATGGAATAATTTTACCACTGGGAATTCTCAGCTGGGGGAAAAGGGAGTGCATGTGTCTCTCTGTGTGAGTATGGTGTGTGTCTGTCTGTGTGTTTTATCTTTTAACAAGCCCTGAATGACAAACACATAGGACAGTTAGGGGCTGACAGAAACAGCAGCTTTTGATGCTTCACAGGGGATCCATGAAATAAACAATAGGCAGAGGGAAGCAGAGAAATTGAATTACAACTGACTGGGTTTGTGTGTTTCAGAGTGAGAGTAAGGCTGCAGCAACGGGCTATGGCGGGATGAAACCAATGCATCATTAAATATACTGGAAGTCAGAAGCTGGGGCAACGCTCCCCTGCCTTCCTAACTGTCCTCCTCCTTTATTTAACTCTCTTCTATCAGCTGTATTCACACAGACATTCATAAAAGGCTGTTGTCCTTTTTACAATGGACATGGGCTAATTAAACAGCAGTCATTATTCATATAATTTCATTCTACTGTCTCGCAAAAAATGCCTTTGAACATTATACTGTGAAACTTTGTGCATTTCATATTATAGAGTAATGATCTATGCATTGTAGTACTGACTGTTCATAAAGCCAAACATCAATACACCCTGAGGAGAGACTGTCCCTCCTGCAACCTTGATCGTTGAATCATCTCTTATGGGGTTAATAATGAGCACACATCAAATCAACAATGGATATATAAAAGAATTTATTTCTCATGTGCACAAAAAAAAAAAAAAAGAAATGGAACAGAACTGGAAAAGGAACAATGATTGAGGCCACAAGGCTTTCCTTATAGATTTTCATCAGAGATCCTTTTAATGTCTGTGACACGTGTCCTGTATCATCTTTACAGCAGCGGATGACCCAGTCCAGCAAAGGTGCTCCATGTCCGAGAGGAAAACTGTGTTGTAACATTTTCAGATATGGAAATCCCACACGATTTCAAGTGCATTTTGTAGAACAAGTGGTTTTCTCTTTTCTTTTCTCATTTTTTTCTGGTTCTCTTCCTGGCAAGAGATTATGTTTTACATGGTAATCCAATGCTAACAGTCATATTGATGAAGGAAAAGTGGATAGTTTGTTGTTTAGGAATTCTGTGTTTCTGCACAAGGAGACACACATCATTTAATCTGGGAGATGATTACAAAACACAGGATTATATTTTTGATTGTTACCAAGGACTTAATGTGAGGGAAGCAAAAATGGAAAAAATGAAAAAAAAAAAAAAAAGTCTCACCACAAGTTTTATGAATCCCTTAGTTAACCTTTATACTCTTCTCCATGGGTACCGGTTATACTGGGCCCGACAACAAAACAGTGACAGAAAGCCATTTAACTTATTGCATAGTGACATAAAACACCATCATGACAAAACAAACAAAATAAAACAAGCAACAAAGACAACCTATGTGGATGTTAGCATCTGAAACCTGCCACTGCTATACCCATAGGTTATATTTTCCTCAAAAACATTACACTGAAGACACAAATGTAATGCATGATTTTCTCTTTTTTTTATCAGCTTCAGTGTGTTTATCTACAAAAGGAGCCAGTACAGGATATGATACTGCAGTGGTGTCTGTGTGTGACGTTATATATTTACAGAGACAACCTGTCTTCACATTTTTCACAAACCTTTATAGAAAGCAGCACTTTGTTTTCAACTGTTGGAATATTAAGCCACTAAATTTCCCCCTCCTCGTATGCATCTTGTTTAACTCTCTCGGCGTACACGTTGAGTTGACTCATCTAAAGGATAATACTGAAATAATAAACTTACTGTAAATAAAACATTAAATATCAAACTTAGTCTTTGGCAAATGTGGTAAGAGAAGAACATTTATGGAATATTTCCCCCAGAACAAACAATCAAACAAAAAAAGTGGGATGCAGAATCCTTCCAGTCCCTGTGGAGACGTGAATATGGGTAATTACCATCAAACCCATTTGATTTTAGGTTTGCAAAATTAGTTTATAAGGCATGTACTGAAATAAGTATATGGTTATATTGTGTCAGAATTGTATCATCTTGAATGTACAGTAGAGGCATGGCTTAACTTGTGGTTTTATTTATGTAATTAAAAAAGGAGTTTTCATTTATCTGATGAACTGTGTCTGTTTAACTTAATTATGTGATTTTTATCAAATACGTTCATGTAAATCTTCCACAAAAAGATGATAAAAAAAAAAAAATCTAAAAGCTGAGTTGTTAGTGCAAAAAAGAGCAAATTAACATGACAGGAAAATGTTGGATAAGTTTGCTCACAAAAAAAATAACTTTTACAGAAGAAAAAACACATTTTTGACGTTTTTTTAAATCCTGACACGACCATTATAAACTCATGGTCATCCTGACAGGCTTCATACTTTGTAGAAGGATTTACATTTTTACATCTGATTGTTTGCCACAGGTGGGACGTTCCCTATGGGACATAGGATGGTAAGCATCGAAGGACGTGCCGATAGCACAAGATGGACGGGTCAAGAAAGGAGACCACTGGATTTTCTCAAAGCACCTGGAAAAAAAGGGTTTTACTACAGCAAAAATGGAGCACCCATCTCTTTAGGTGTAAAAAGTGGGTCCGCAACACTGGTGTGAGTTGCTACATTACTGAACTGTGGGACAACCATCAATTTCTCTTAGACTTGTCTTTTCAGAGCAGACAAAAAATACTGTAGTTTATTACATAAAGGAATGTGAGGATCCATGAATAAAATAACAACAACAGCAACAACGAAAAAAAAAATTATAAATCCCACAAACATTGTTCCACATGGTAATCTTCACACAGTTTTTCTTCAATTTATATTTTATAATATATATATTTATAGAATCTGTTGAAGTCATTCTGAAAATGTTCAGGCCTGTGGGAGATTTACAGGCTCCAAGCTCCTTTGGGGTCCCTTGCCTCTCTCCCCCATCTCTGTCCCAACATGTGTAAAGCTAGAGCTGGGTGCAAATGCTCCAGCTTCTTGCATCCTTCCTCTGCATCGCATAAGTTGAAGGGGTCCCATTTTTTTTTCTCATATAGGACCAACGTGGAGGCCGAAGCTCCGGCCCTGCAGTCTGAACTGGTCTCCGGGGTGACTAGTGGCGGTCGTAGGCAGTGGCAGCAGTGGGAGGGGCGGAGCCACGGGATGCGGCACTATAATAATAAGGGGAACCTGAAAGTTAACAGAAGAACGAGTCGTTGGAAACCATCTGAAAGGCATGTGTACAGATTCTAAAGTTTTAAAAGAACTTAAAGACATTAAATCTCAGAAGTTTCAGTTGAACTGGAAAATAAGTCATACACATCTCCAATAGTGATGGAGGAAAATTATATATAATTTTCAAAATTCTTTACAAATAAACCCTTATCTGTGTCAGTGCTCTAGGAAATCGACTTTTGCAAATATTGTAGTATGTATTCTTGGGATTTTTCTTTACAAGCTTTGCACATCTGGAAATTTTTTACCTTTATCATTTTTAGGATACATCAAGCAAAGTAAGATCCCTTGCAAAGTATGAGAAAAAAATCATTGGTTATTTTTTGCTATATGTTGCAAATTGATTTTCAGTCGAGACTTTGACTAGACCATTCTAAAATGTGACATTTCTTTGATTATTGCCTATTACAATCAGCCTGTTGGTTTCCTTAAACAACCCTGTCTTGGTACGGTAAGTTTGCATAGGTGCCAAGCTCGTATTAGTTTCCAAAGATGGGATATTGTTTTTTTTAACCTTATGTGCTATAAACCTCTCTTCAACTTTATCTTTGACCTGTATGATCTGTTCCACGGTCTTGTAAAAGCAAAACTCTGAGGTCTTCACAGAACAGCTAAATTTCTACTCAGAGTAAATTAGACACAGTTTAATAAGTAAATTACCCCTGGAAGCAGTTGGTTGCTATAGATACTATTTAGGGTTATCAGATTAAAGGGAGCTGAATGTAAATGCAAGTATTGATATACCTTATTTGTTAAACATTTAAAAAACAATATATCATTTTTCATCAGGTCTCATTTATGGACAACTGTATTTTGGTCAAGGAATTAGAATCCCCATAAACAACAAAGTTTATGATAAAATGTGAGAATTGTGTTCAATTCAAAGGGTTTGAATACTTTATTGAGGCACAGTAAATAGGATAAAGTCAGTGAATGTACCTACTCAGTAACGCTGGATTACTGAACCTCCAAGCTTCATTGTAGGTTGTGTACTGGGGATGAGAGTAGGGATTACCAGAAAAGTCCCCCCCTAGAGAGAAAACAAGCACAATTATTCATGGGGGGATTTTATGCAAACAGACAAAAATATATATAATTGTAAATTTCACAACCCATTTGTAATTATTTTCCCTCTATAGTCACTTCTGCCCATTTCACCATAAACTCAGCATTCTTCTCTGTTCTTCTCATTTTTGGGCATCCCTATACTTTCTTTTCCTCTCACTTTCCATTAAGTTGCATTTGACCATCAGCAAAACATTAGCAGGAGGTTTTATACCACAACTGATTGCAAAATCGGTGAAACTGTTTCGAGTGCCACTTCTTGCTGTTTGAGCTGAGCACATCTCTAAACAACAGAGGGAGTTGTGTTTGCAGCTGTTTGGACGACAGATTTACACACACACTGGCAGCTATAGCATCCTCACCGCTGCTCATGTAACTCGAGCTCATCCCGGAGAGAGATAGTGATTTAAATATTTACAGGCCCTCTACGCCTCTGTGTTCTGACCCTTAACTGTTTGCTGTGAACCTGAACTACAGGTTAAGTAGAGGGGAAAGAGATACGCTCTGTAGCCCTGGGTGTCCGTGGAGGCGAGGAGAAGAGCACAGGCAGTGTTTATCGACGGGGCTGGTGAGGGCGCGCTGCATGTGGAAGCGGTGAGGGTAATGAGCGCTGGGAGCTGGAGTGTAACTGAGAGGAACTGTCCCATCTCACGGCCACTGATTGTGGTGATCGCCTATCGAGTTCATCTAATGTCCTCATCCACTGATGCTAACCGCACGCTAACCACAGACTTCTAAGGCTATAACGAGCTTGCTTCAATCCATGAGGAAAGCTTGGACATTTTTTCACTGTCCTTTTATTTTTTCTTAATGTTTAGCAAACTGCTGTCTCCTCTCACATGATCTCAAGCTCTGCAGCAGTCCTTGAATGAGGTTTCATTGGGCCTGTTAGTATAATTATCAGGATCCCAGAAAAAAATTGATTCACCTACCAGGAACCATGCCAGCAAGTGTGGAGGTGGGGTAGCTCCCTTGTCCTGTGGGCGGGACGTGGGGTGGGTAGCCAGGTAAAGTGGTGCTTGCCATGTCTCGACCTGCAAGTACACAGAAGATTTCATTAGTAAAAACAGAACTACCAACAAAACCAAATGAATAGAGTGACCATACTGTATTACACATTTTTTTATAAAAAAAAAAAATGGGTGTGTTTTTATTTTGCATGCATAAATACATATACTTTAGCTATGTTTCATTTTGCATATTTAATTTATGAAACGTATTGTTATTTAAGCAAAGGACCAGTATGTTTGATTATTTTTATTTGTTATATTTTGCAATGTACACCAAGGAACACTCAGAGACTCTAAATCTATAAAGTTTTGAGCAATGTTTGGTGCCAGTACCAGCTTAGGAAGCCAATTTACAATTCAAAAAACAAATGAGCTCAAAATGCTTTATGACATGAAAATCCTTGTATTTTTCGGATTCATAGTAGTATTTCCCAATTTGGGGCCAAGGGTGTTATATTCATGTTAGAGAAAATTACATCAAATTAGTTTCGACATGTATTTCTTTCTATATGCTTTCTCCGTATTAACAGCTCAGCATATTTCCCTAATTTAGTTACATTGCAGCCTTATTAAAATTTGTAATAAATAATACCTCCAAATTACACAAAATACCTCATTATGGCAATGTAAAATAAAAATACATGAATCTAAGTGTTAACAGCCTTGGATCTTTATTTTGTGGATCCACCTTAGCAAAGTTTATTTATGTGCATGCCTTTCCTAATCCTGTGCAATCAACTACATTTACCACAGATGTGCTCCATGTAAGTTGTAGAAACATGTCAAGGATCATCAGGGAACACTGTATGTACTTTAGCTCAATTTGGAGCTTCGTAGCAAAAATGTGAATACTTAGGTAAATGTCATTTCTTAGTTTTCTGTTTGTAATAAACTGACACAATTATACATATACAGTACACTGAATATTATTTGGAATAACATAACTAACATAAGCTCAGCTGTGTAAATGTTTTCAAGATGCAATATATAAAATAAGAGGCTGCAAATAACAGTAGTTATTCCACTACAACCAAAGAAGCTAAAGGTGATGGAAGCATTGTACCAGTGAAAATTTTCTTTTTTTTCTTCTCTATATTCAGACTTTTAATTAACAATGACAGCACTGGGTTGGGGTAAGTAAGAGTGCCCTAAATCCAAGCCAGGCCCCAGCATCATCATCTCTGTTTTAACAACCCCCCACCCGAAACCCATTTTGGACCTCCTCTGAGCCCCCTGACTTTGTGCCCGTCACAAGGCTGGAGAGACTGGAAGGTCTATTGTGAACCTAATAGATAGGCAATAGGTCCGATGTAGAGAAAAGTTCTGACCATAGCTCGGAAGAGCATAGCTCCGATAATGAGGGCCCAACAGTCAGTTTAGCTCCTGTTTACACAACAATAGATCCAAAAGGCAGCATGAGAAGGTGGCTGTTTTAATTTGGTGCATAACTGAGAATTGCTAAATGGTTAAAAGTGAGCATAGACTGAAATCAAATGGACATTTTTTATTTTTTCAATTCATCTATCGGGCCTCATGGGCAAGGCTGTACCTGCTATAAAGGGCTGGCTGGCATACTGGCTGTAGCTGGGGCCGTGGGCATGGGTAAGGTAGCTGGGAGTGGAGGCATCTACAGAGAGGCTGGTCTGGTGGGGCAAGATGTCAGCTAGAGCAGAATCCCCAACAGAGGAGGGGGTGAAGGGAGCAAAGGATGCCTCATGGGGCTCCCGCTTTACACACATGGAAGGCGGATATGACTGGTGAGAGTCTGGCATGTGGAAAAAAAAGATAAAAAAGAAAAAAAACTTGATAGAATGCAAGCATACATTGCCACACGTTCTATACTCACATTTTAATCAATCACACATGTAGAATGAGATGAGGGCTTTATTTTGTGTTAATCAAACACTGCATAGTATAAAACACAAAAGGGGGTGTAAAGTCCTAGATTCACTTTCTTTAAACTGTACTTAAGGTTTCCAAGACTTTACTCCTATTTTTTTTTTTATCTTCGAGGAAAATTATATTAGGTATTTCAGATGTGAAAGAGCATAAAAACAGCATTTAGTGTTTGATTTGTTCATTTACATAGCTTATTATATTAATCTTATATGCACCCTGCAGTAATTCATCCAACTGAGTGTAAACATACACCAGTGAAATGTTGTAGCAACACATCGCGCCTGATCAATCAAGCTCAAATGCATACAAAATTTCCCTAAGGTTTTGAGAAAACAAACAGCATAATCTCATGGCTGCTCTGTCTCAGAGCTAAAGAAGTAAACAATCAGCTAACAGATAGTTGAAAACGCCATGCTTTGCACTAATTTGGCTGATGAGTCCTGGCATCTTTCGTCTTTTTTTTTTTTATCCAGCTCTGCCTCTTTAACCTGTGCAATCAATGTAAGCTCTGTCTTTCTCTGGTCCCTCCATGTTGTGCTGAGGTGCCCCGCTCTGTTTGCTGGGGCCTGAGATGGACCCCCCCCACCTCCCCGACACCATGATAGCCTCATTAGCTGCTTCCCCCATCATTGTTGTTTTACAACAGGACTGTGTGTTGTGATTCCTCATTAAGATAAGGGCTGAAGGGGGATTTAACACTGTCAGTCCTTAAATGCTAAGCAAAAAGAATGAGGGAACACAGCTGAATTTGTTTGAGCCAAGTTCTCTCGCATCCCTTTCATACAGTAGCTGTAAACATTCCCTTAAACAGAGAAAACCTGAATGATTTCAGGCTTTAGTATAAGATTGCTTGATTAAAACCGGGGAATTTTAAATCAGTGCGAGTCAGTTTAAGATTTAAATGGATGGACAGGGGAAACTCTGTAGACATCATAAGAAAGTCACAGTATCAGACTAAAGCTAACGCCCAGTCTAAGGACAGTGACTTAGTGGGGTCTCTACACTCTAGAAAACACCAGGACTTAAAAAACATATCTGTTTATGAACACATTATATTATTAATATTTAAACTGTTAAACAACTACATTCACCATGATGCATGTTTTCCTTTAATTGCCATTTTTACTCTATGGCCATATTTGTATGTAATACAAGCTTTTTGTAACATTTTCTTTTAAACCTATATTTTCTAATACAATTCCAAGTGCACCTTTTCTGTATTTTACCTGTTAAAAGCAACTCAATTTTAAAACTATTGTCAGCCAATGACAATTGTAAAAGAATTAGGAACACAGACTTCAAGGCAACAACTGCAACACATTTTGAGGGAATGGTAATTTAGCACCATAACTTTTGCTTTGGCCTCACCCTCTCAGACCAACTTTTACTGAGAGATTGAAATATTCATAGATCAACTTATTTGGATTTATAATTACGACAGTGAGAAACATGTCCACTTTTGGTAGCAACTTATAACAATTTACAATCAAGCAGGTGATTATTTACACTAGCCTGTCCAGTCACAATGATTCACCCAGGGCTTAAAACAGTCTAGAAAGGCAGGAGTTTACTTTAGCACCAGAAACACCCATAATGCAACAGCACTTTTTTGTAATCACAGCAGTCAATATTGCAGCCATAATAGAGCTATGTTCTAAAAATGCACTTTATTTTGTCCCAAATGAGACTGATATAACTTCAGAATTCCAACAGCTGGCTGCTGTTAGATATTTTCTTTTTAAATAGAAGACTTTGCATTAAATCTGTATTTACTGGAGATGTTCTCTCCCCTCTCTGTTAGTCCTGCTCTGGCCTTTGCAATCAGGTGCTGCTAGCTTCTCTTCAGACTAAAAAGATGTGTATAATATGTACGTCAGGGGCTAACCAGGCTATTTTTACACAGGAAACTTAGGTACATGAATGTACTCCACAAAATAGTCCTAAAGATGTATAGCATTTTTAGTCAAAGAAACTGACAAATTGGAAAGTAAAACAGTGGCTGTTAGCCTCATCCTATCAGATAAACCAATCGGGATGAATATTAAAAAAAGATGCCAAGAAAAGTATTTAGTAAATTTATTAAGCTCCTGAATTTTATAAAAAAAAAAAAGTTTAAATATTTCCCAACCAATAAATGCAACATTGCTTCTTAGAACTTAGATGTAAAAGATTTTAAATTTTTTGTAGAAGATTTTAATATTGCTTAAAAAATTGTCTACATTAACAAGAAGCTTTAAAGTAGCCCTTTGTTTGGAAACTATTTCATATTTGTTCGTGGCTTAGAACAAATTTGTTTCAACTCTATTTAAGATAAACCTAGTTTGCTTCTGTTTTGTCAGCACCAGAGCAACTGTTGAGAAACATTCGGTAGTTGCAGAGCACCAACAACTGATACAAATGCTGCGTTCGAGACCACTGAACTCTGAAACTAATCAGACATGGTGCTGCTTATTGTCCTGGAGACGAGGCAGCGCCGGGGAAAAGGGGAGGCTGTCAAATCCCGGGCCTGGATGATGGAGATGGAAGATAAACTTGGAGTCCATGGGGACCTTTTTCCCCCTGCAAACACATATCTGAGAGAGGGGAAGATGGTATAGAGTTCTCCAACATCTGTCTCCGCTCAACCACTGATACCACATCTACAGACCTCATCAACCATAGAAATAAACTGTTAGGAACCTGTAGCGGTCCTCAGAGAGATGCTTTCAGATATAGCTACAACAGGCTGCCCTCAAGTGAGTGTTTTACTTTTAAATGCACACTAAGGAACTTTGGTGTACATTGGCTGCTTAAGCTCTTCTTTCAGTTGAAGAACAATTTTCTTCCCTTAAAGCACAGCTGTCATCTTGCTTGAAGCAGCCATTCAGGGCAAAGTTTACAAATATACTTTAAAATATGGTGTTGGGGCAAAAAAAATAAAAAAATAGAAGTTGCACCCATTTCTGGTTGAGCAAAGAACATTTTCAGAGCCAAATGAGCTGAATTACACACCTACAGTCCGCAGTTTCCCTAAAATTCATTATCAAATGTGTGCTTAAAACTTTACGTGAGCATTAAGAGAGGAGAGGGAGACAACAAATTAATTTCTAAGCTCAGGGCTGCAGGTATTAACCGAGCTGTGACGAACCATTTGTCACCAGGCTACACACCAGGCACCACAGGTTAGGTAGCTGCATATTGTTTGCAACTCAGCAGGAAAAAAACTGGTGCTGCCAAGTCATAAAAAGGAGACTCCAATCCATCTGTGTGTGCGCAGCTGAAAGTCCTCGAAAGTAAAGCACTCAGCTCTTTCAATTGGTTACATTTACTGTTTGTCACCAGAGCGAGTGTGAAGTGGATGCAAAAACAATACAAAAATGTAAATGTAAAACTACCAGCTTTATTATTTACACCTGCTAGAGCTGCTCAGGTTCAGAGGGGTTCCCATTTACACCTGGGCTCCTGGAAGGCTCTGCTGAGAGCGATTATCTAACCCAGCTTGCACCGACATCACTGAATCTTAGCAGGTCTGTCCTCATCTAACTTTGAATAGTCCTGAGAGGTTTGCTTAAAACACAGCTACATTAATCCGGGTAAAGATCTATAAAGGGGATCTGTGCTTTTTTTTTATCCAGCTTTTATTGTCATTACACTGTCACAGGAATAGAGCAACGAAATTCACTCTCTGCATTTAACCCATCCCCTTGGGGAGCAGTGGGCTGCCATTGTGCGGCGCCCGGAGGGACACAGAATGGCAGTCTGTGTCCCAATCAGAACCTCAGGATTCCAAGCTCTAAAAAAATAATTAATTAAAAAATAAAATCTGTGATGCTGGGGGTTCTGGGAACTTTAGTAGAGTACATGGCATCATTTAATCTTTACATGACCAAGAAATTTATAACAGAAATGTAGTTTGTCTGATAAGCTAGCTGAACATGGACTATTACTGGCTCTTTCAGCACAATAGGCTGATGATTTAACTTTAGGCCAGATCAATAAAGAAAATATCCTCCAGGATCGATAGAAATTGTGCAAAAAGGAAATATTTAGGATTCCTTCATTCTTTATCGAGCATTGTGAAATGCAGTAGTAAACAACCATGTGCTGTCCTATTGACAAAAGGTGGTTGCACAAAGTAGTTACTTTAGAGGTGCAGTACTTGTGCCTTTTATGACTTTGTTTAAAGATGCTTCTTTTGTTGATTCCAGTAAATTAACTCATATCAATTCCAAAACTGGAATATTTGGGCAAATTTTTTTTATCCATCTTTACAAGCAATACAATACAAAAAGCCATTATGCTCTTCATATGCAACTTAAATTTATTTATTCTACATTTTGATTGTCCTTTATTTATTGATGCTAACGGTAGGTTTGTTTGTTTACGTATTGCACCTCATCACCAAAACATTCTTCATACATGTAAAAACAGTACTGGCAATAAAGCGTTTCATGATTCATATTCTAAATAAACATAATAGAATTTTAAATTCCATTTATTGAATCATTTGTTAAATGGTAAGTTATTTAACATTAGCAGCCACGTTTTACTTTTTCATGATCTTCCTAAATGCCAATGATGGTGTGCTTCAGTGCGTTAACTAACTCTGTGACATTGCTGCCACCCTTCCTGCAAGTAAACTGCTTCGTGTGACCTGCTAGGGTAAACAGAGGACACAAAAGATGGCCGACTTTGCTTTCTCTATGGGGGCCCCTGGAATGCAAAACTGAACACTTCATTAATCATTCATCTTTAATAGATTATGCAAATTTCAGGACATAAAAATCAACAAGATCAATAACGGTATGCATTTTAATTGGGAGCAGAAAACATTTAAGGAATGAATATAATCTCACAGCTCCATCCAGTATGAGAGCATAATTTATTGATAATTGGATTCCAGCCTAAGTGAGGAAGGTAATTTAGCAGTTTCTCAGCCTTGGCATACACTCCTATTTACAGGGTTTGCTAATGGTAGAAAAAAAAAATTATATCGCACACTAACAACCTACACACGGCTTCGTATATTACTTTGTATGTTTGAAGTGATAAAGTTTACTGGATATTACTTGCGAGTTTAATTTTGTTTGTGCTCAGGGCACACAGACACATTTGTTTAATTAAATGGCTGCACTGATATCTTCTGTCAAATTACACTTCTTGAAGTTTTTCCATCTCTTAATGCTACCTCTGGTCCTCTGAGATATCACTTTAGGGGGCCCCGAGCCCCCAGGTGGACTTGGAGGCCACCTGCTATGAGTTTGCTCCCTAGAGCGAGACCACTTTCATAGGAGGAGCCCAACATAAAAGACAAAAACACACCTTTCTTCTCCTGAGGCCCAATTTTCCGGGGCAAAGCTACCTCCCACATATTCGAGAATAAAAAGGGGCTCTTTCTTTTCCCATCACTCTTTGCGCAAGTCTGGGGTCAGACTACAGGGATCATATGAGATGGGCGACTGCAGTTTTTCAATCATGCTGTCCTCTTTCCTGACCAGCTCATACACAAACACAAACCCCCCACACACAAACCCACGCTAACTGATTCCCACTGCGCCATTATGGAACTTTTATTAAAACCTTAGCATATTTAGAGAGTATGCATGGACCAGAATAAACCTAACTAACCTCCACTGAAAGAAAGCCTCTATCTCAACAATTAAGCATTTTTTTAAATGATCCAGGTGACAATCAGCCTGGACAGAAGAGAAGAAGCCATAGAATAAAACAGCATATGCAATGTATTTAGACTGCAAACACATCATAAGTGTTAAGAAAAAACAAATCTTTGATTTGTGCCTTTTTTTTATGCAAGTGCCAAAGTCAGTAGCAAGCCTGCCAGACATGGTCTTTTTCCAGCTGCTGTCAGTCAGCAAGATATGAGTCTATGATGGCAGTGTGGTGCAGTAGCGAGGACAGCAGCTGTCTCTCATGAGAAACACTCATAGTCAATCTGTTAGCAAGTCATTCTGGCCAAACAGCAGCCAGTTAGGAGGTTAGGAGCTGTAATTGGGACAGACCTGTAGGGTCTAATGTGCTCAGGCAGTGGATCACCTCATTCTATACCTTCAAAGATAAACACAAAATGCAACACAAAGAGCCTTTTTACAAAGTGATGAGAGCCGGTGGAGTTGGAAAAAATTATAAATACGTATGTTATGCATCATCTACAGTGCCCACAGTATTTAAAACCTTTAATGTGTGACTTTACTTTAAAACAATGACAACGTTTTCATTGATGCTATAGGCTAAAGACCAACACAGAGCAGACAGTAAATGGGAATTGAAAGAAAAAATCTAGATTTGTTTCAAGATAATAACCAAAAGAAAAACAAAAATGTATTTCTTTACCGCTATCTATTAGCTTTCATGTGCCTACTTAAGAAAGTCTTCCTCACATCATGATACTGCCATCCCCTATTTTATTATGAAGATAATATGTTGAGTAAATGGAGCAATGTAAGTTTTCTGCCAAAATTGAACTTCGGCATGTCAGCCAAAGACATTTTTTTTTTTCAGTCGTCATCAACAGCACCTTATTTCCCACATCCTTATGGTCTTCTGCATGGCTGCAACCTCCAGACTGAAACTGCTATACCTATTTTTCAACAACAGCTTTCTTCTGGCTGCCCTTCCATAAAGTGGATATATATATGGAATGCAAGGCTAATTGTCCTGTCAACAGATTCTTCCACCATGGCTGCAGATCACCATAGCTCCTACAGAGTTCTTGACTTTTTCTTTGGTATAACTTTGCACCCCAGATAACTAGAAAGAAATCAACTCAGTATCTGACTTTAATACGCTTGCCTGGGGCCCATAACATTTAGCCAGTTCTTATTTCATATAGTGGATTTGGCAAAAGATAACAGCTTTATTTAACAACTGGTAACAAAATAAGATTATGTAAGAAAGTACCTTCCTATTACAACTCTAGCAACAAATTTTACATGTTACTTGTTAGCTGCCTGGCCTATAATTTAGCTGCAGTTATGCTGAGTTAAGCACAGGTAATTTGATTTAATATCTTGACCCTGAAAGTCAAGGATTGCTTTTGATTTTATTGACGAATATTTGATTAAAGAGGGCTCAATAAAAATGCTTGTTTTTTCATTTTACTTTTATTTCTTTAACATGATTTAAAGTTTTATATATATTTTAGTTTTGCTTTTTAACACTTCATGTCGAAAAAGCACTTAAAATCTTTATAAAACATTTAGAAATGTGTGCTGGTGTGACACACTGTTTAAAACATTTCCAAATGCATATTTATATATGTATATATTTTTTACTCAAATGTGGGGATGTACTGTATAACTATTAAAGTGAAACCCTAAAACAGGGGAAAATAACATTGTATTGTTATTTCTGAAGTTCCTCATCAGTGATTATCACAATTTCACAGAGCTTTAAATAATGTGTACATCTTTTTATGAACCTGTGGAAGTTAGCGCGAAGAATGGATTCAAGGAAGGAGTTTTTAGGGAGTTAAAAACACAGAGAACACATTGTTCTGTTGTCTTCCTCTTACTGACTACGTTTACCACCTTGGTGTAGATGTCTTTCACTGCTGCACCTGCTCACATTCTTTTAAGACCCAGTGCAGCATGAATCAGATTGTACCTGTCACAACAGAGTAGCTCTGCGAGACACTGGAAGCGAGGTCGGAGCTGGCACTGGTGGAGAGGCTGGGCTTCACATCTTCCAGGCTGCCATTCAGGGATGGGAGGGAGTACTCATTCGCCTGCAGACAAACAGACAGACACACATGAGCAGGTGGCAATCAAAGATATACAGCTCACTCTGGCTTTATTTAATTTCACATTCCAACAGATCAGGTCGTGATCTGATTAATATTACTCATGCACTGCGCATTGGCTCATCGTAGATGCCCGACTTGCAGCAGAGTTCCCAGTTAAGGTGACATTATGTAGAAAAAGATTGACTGACACCTCCTGGTGTTTCTTGTATTCTCTCACACAGGATGTTTCCTGCAAATTCTGTGAACATCACCCCTGCCTGTGCTCCCTGTGTTTCACCGAGACCTGTGATGATGTATGCATGCATTAGGGCTTGTCTGAGAAGATGGCAGAGAGGGAGAGTGGGATGAGAGAGGGATTCGAAGAGGAGTGAAAGGACGGGGTGTCAGCTGGCTCTTTGTGCTCCACTGCAGTCATCCCTGTGACCAGTCAAGGGAGGAGACATTCAGGGCTTTGTTACAGGAGAGACATGTGGTGTTTTTTTTTTTTTTTTTTTTTTTTTATCTTTTCTTTAAAAAAAAAAAAGATATTGGGGTGCCCAAGCTTAAATTCTGCCTTTGTGCTTTACATTCAAGATAAATACAAAAACTGAGATTTTGCATATTGCTGAATGCTTGTATTTATTTTTTATGTTGTTTTTTCATTTGAAGCCAAGCTTTTAAACCAAGCTGCTGCTAGATACCTCTTTTATAATTTACAAATTTTGTTATGTTGGTGCTGTGATAAACAATTTGGTGGGAGCATATAATCTCTTGTTTTGTCCATGTTAATCCCAGGTAAAGACTCTGTTTGCAATTGTGATAAATCCTGTTTGGTAATGAGATGACATTTCCTGACCCTGTGCTTATTTAAAAAGAGAAGTGTTTGCATGCACATTGGTGTCTATGAGGAATATGTCACAGTGCGTGTGTGCATCTGTTTGTCTCAAAGGATTGTGTTTTGGGGGTGGGGGCTATAGGGTCCCAGAGGGGCAAGCTGGTGACCCCAGTCTTGTCTGCCTCTATCCCAGATAAACTCTAATTGTCTGCTTACAACTGTTCCCTGGCACTAGGCAGGATGTTCTTCTATCCCGTTGGGCCTCAGCCGCACAAGAGCCATTTTGTCATGCAGATGGGTTGTGGGTAGAGGCTGGGCAGGGGCTGGGCGGAGGGCGAGTGGCAAGCGCAGAGGGGCCTGAATGACCTGACCACATGGCTGCCAGAAGTGTGGGAGGGATGCAGCCTATTCAGCCTGGCCTCTTCAAAATGGCTTTTTAATGTCCTGATGCAGACACCAGACAAGCCCCTAATAGCCTAATATCCCACCTTTTCACCAGTTTCAGAAAAGGAGGGGGTGTTGGAAACAAGCTGAAAAAGGGGAGGCGCATGGAAAGAGTGGAAAGCAGCCTGATTAATATTACATTAAATTAAAACTGATTTTTCTGGACCATTCTGACGCCGTTATTCGCCCCCTTTCCTCAGCCCCCTCTTGCCTTCTTAATACCTTCTCCTCCGCTCTTTGTGATTGCAAGTCATTTCCAATTCATTTTGGTATTGATCTTGCCATAGAAATCACTTTGGTAATTAGCTGCATTAGGGGCTGTAAAGCAGGCTGAGGGGCTGTCCCTCTGATTTATCGCCGCTGTAATTCCCCACGATCGCACAGAGATGAAAATGAACTCAATTAGGGCACAGCTAAGGCTGTGTGGGCACCCAGATAGAGTTCCAATGGAAAAATTAATAGTCTCTTGTTGTTTAACAGTATAATGAATGTAAATAAAGCTTATCCTCTGTAATAGATTGTAGGCTTCAAGGCTACATTTAGGCACCAGTTTCCCAACATCACTTTTTGTTCAATAAGAAAAAGTAGCATGTACAGAATTTACGAAACACAAATATAAACATATTGAGATTGGTTAACATGGAGAACATAGTGTTGTATGGGCTTAGAGGAAACAAAAACTCAAGAAAATGCCTTGAGAAACATAACTTTTGAGTGTCTGTTTGGCCATCTGCAGATTCTAAAAAAACAAACACTGAATAAACTCCTTTATACCCTCAAACCAGATCAAATGTAAAGGTTGAAGCTGCTGATGTGGTTGAAATAGCTTTGTTAGAATGGAATCTGAGAACCAGTTGTCTTTAGTCTAATGACTGTGGCTTCATGTTTAAGCCTTTTTCTCTTCCATCCATCTCTTCCATATTCAGGTCCTTGGTAGAAATAGTTTAAAATCTTTATAACAAAAACCGAATCATTGTCAGATGTTCTTCTAAGTTGTGAAATGCACTAGTCCTAATTAAATAAACGTAATTTATTGACGCATTAATAAAATGCAGCAAAAATATAACATAAAAACTGACTAAATTCAACAGCGATTTTCAAGTATTTATTGCAGAAACTGTTATCTGCTCAATCAGAAAAGCTGTCTGCTTGGGTAGAGCTTATAGTAAGCTCCTAAACAGATACATGGCTTATAGCATGCTAACTGTAGATCTTTTATTTAGCATTAATTAATAACAATGTAACTTCTTAAGTATCCACACCTTGATTGTTTGTTTTTTTTCAATTGAAGATTTCCAAAATAACAAATTTAAGTTTCTTGTAAGTATCAAGCTGCTGTAAGCTGGTGTTTTACAGCAACAGGTGGGGGAGAGGAAGTTCTGTTATTTTCTGCTACGTAGTATGATACACACTTTTAGTGTTATAAACATTTTCAAATCTATCTGTTCATTCACTCTGGAATCTAGTTTGACTCTAATTGTGATCATTGGTCTTTCAAAGCAGTGTTGCTGAGCATACTATTAACGTTTGTGATTAGCAAAGACTTCATGCAACAGACATCTGTATTGGTTCTGAAGACGTTTGAAAAATACAGCCCCCAGCTCCCAAATATATCAAATATTCGCTTTATTGGAAAAGACAAACCTGCTCTGGTTTAATGTGTTCTGAAGTGGGGAAGACATCAGGGTAAGAAGGCCGTTCAAACACGCGGTCCAGGGCTTCCAGTTGTTGCTGGGTGAAGGCGTCTGCTCGCAGATGCTTTCTTAAACTTTCCACACTACCCTGAGAGTCACTTCCTGGGCCTGAACCATCTGAGCCATCTAAAGAAAGAGGAAAGGAAAAAAGTGGTGCAAAAGAAAACATTGTCAGGTTATTCTTATAGCATTACATGATATAAAGTTTTACAGATCTGGTACTACTTTGTCCTAATATCCTCTTTGCTGTAGACAATTTTACTTGCTGTAGACAAGTTTAGCTAATTGGACCATTATTTTTAGTATCTTTTAGATCGTTAAAACTTAATGCAGTGGAGGCACAGTTGTGTTTCAAAAGATCCTTCTGTCATTTTGGCTGCGGGAGAGAGAGAGCAAAACTTTCAATAGACAGCAGAAAGGCTGAACATGGTAGAGCTACATTTCTTTATTTTAATCAGCATGAAATCCTCTGTATGTCACTGAACTTACTGAATTTAGAAATTATGGCAGGCTATAGTAAAACTCAGTTAGAGTAAAGCTTGCATTTTCTAGAATAAACACATAGAGATGACTGTTTTAGCAATGCTAGGTATGCCAACAATTCTAATCTACAATGAACTATAACGTTAAGGGAACATCAAAATCTGTAGTCTGTATTAATTTGTTTCTCATCTAAACTTAACCATAAAACAGGGTTTAACTGTGACTTTAATGGGTGATGTCTCATATAATTAAAAAAATTAACAATTGTCGAATGACCTTGATGTTATGATTATAAAGATAATGTTCAGTGCTGTTTTTATCTTCTTATATTTTTAGAGTTTGCTAAGAAATTGCAATCAACTAAAACTGATTTGATCAAATCAACAATCATAAAAACTGGAAATATATGAATTTATATGAATTCTTGGTTAAGATTTCTTACTCTCCAAATACACCCCCTACCCACAGGAACCCTTGGCACCATCACCATGATCATCCTCTGATGGGCCTGTGGTAATTGATGGATTACCTTTAGTGCAGATATATACTTGTAAGAGAGAGCACATGTTTCAAGGGAGAAAGTAGGAACTGACGATTACATACAGAGCCTCTCACTCTGCTACTGGGAAATAGAGAGCCATTATTTAACTGAACTATTTCCTCCTGAACGTATTACCTGTACCTCTTCTCTCTTTCCATCCCCCCACATATTGCCTGTCTTTTGGAAAGCAGAACAGAGCAGGGATGCAACATTCAGGGACCGAATGAGGATAGGGCATAGAGGGCAAACGTATGCATTTCCTCACTTGGTCACACACTATATAAACAAATGAGCCTATACTTTCCTGGTCTCTCTGATCTCTGACCCTATCAACGCAGCCTGGCAGCCTGCCGCCACCACTGCACTTCTCCTTCTGCTCACTCATCATGTTCTGACCATTTAAAGGAGGAAAAAAAAGCTAAAACCTTCAGCCCAGTATTCCAGGAACCTGCACTCTCTCCTGGCTGCCTCCCACCACCCTCCCTTTCCTCCTCACACTGCGCCACCAACAGCGGATGAGGGCTTCAGCTCCCGTACAAATCTGTCATTCTAAATTTGCAGCAGATTATGTTCTCTCCTGGGCGAGGCAGCGGTGATATATGATATGCAAGGCCGCTATTGATTGCCTGATCCGCTCGCAGAGGAGGGAGGCGAAATGAAGTTGGAATGAACATCATGCCTCAACTCATTGTGCGTATAATACTCTACTTAATCCCACATTTTTCTGTGCTATGGAATTCAATTGATCAATCATGTTCCACTGATGGTACCATTTCAGGGGCGTTATTGCCATTCTGCTCGGCTGCTTGACCTTTTTTCAATGGCTGAGGCCATAGGATGAACCCGATTCGCTCCGAGAAATAGATCCATAGAGAGAATGGAATGGAGGATGGTAACTGGGAATGTGTAGAGTGTTAAACAGAAGGCTGTTGCTAAAATACACTACTTTGATTTTATCCTAGGGTACTATTGATAGAGGAATAGCATTTCTTCCTTACAATATGTGTTTCTCCAACCATGAATTAACAACATTTTTTACATCTTTTCCATTTACCAACAGCTCTCTTCGATGGAGAGCAGGGATATTTCTAAATGAAACCAAGAAGTTGGCTCAGAGGAAGACAGAAAAGGTAAAGAGCTAGTTCAGAGCCATTTAAGTGAGGTTCTATAGGAAGGTCATAAGTACCTAATATCTTTCCTGCAGTAGATATCTATTATAAGTCTTTTATTTAGAATAAATGCAGTAAAGATAAAAACAGAGGCTGGGCCAAAAGCCGGTGCAAGGTTAACCACAACCACAAGGATTTTCTAAGGGCTTAAAAAGGGCTCCAATGTGTAAATGAAAAGGTCTCAGAAATCTATGCAAACATTATTTTGCCATTTCAAGCCATTGAAAAGGCAAAAATATAATAGTTGTTTAAGTGACACAATTTCATAATCTCACTGGCATTGGACGGGACATCGTTTATACTAGTTGTTTTCTGTTATACAGAAAGGCAACTGAAAGTAGATCTTATCTTAACCACCATTGCTGTTTAAATAGTCATTGGCTTCTTTGTAGTCACAATAACACGTTTGAGCATACATTTGCTTTAAGATTACAGATGTCCATGCACGTGTTGGCCTCTTCCATGCTATCAGTAAGTTACAGTCTCTGGAACCAGCTTAGGATGTTGAGGATACTCACAAAGTATTTTCCTGCAGAGATTACTGGTTTACACAATTTTATTAAATGATCCTTTAAAGTATAGTCATTCTGTATTTAGGTGATGTTTACCAATAATCAATTAGTTGACTATTTACCAAGAAATTGAAAGTAGGTGGCAGTGTGGCACTACTCTCCTTTATTTGAAACAAAATTATGTAGATGTTATGGTTCTAATAAATATCTAATAGTAAACTAGCATTGACTTAAATGTTACTTAGAGTTTACTTAAACTGCCCTTTTAGCTTTTCATACTATGAACAAAAGTCCAATATATTTATTTTTTCCTGTATGTTTTTAACATCCCCCTACCTCTATTCTTAGTAGTAATTATAAGCTACTCTGTATCCTTTTTTTACTGTTTGAGGGGTCAAAGGCGAAAACTTAAATTTCATCCAGAACCAACTTATCTGAATTTATGCTTAATTAAGGTGCAATTAGAATGTTAAACACTAACAAGCTTTAAACTGAGCCATATCAAAAATCCTGAATTTAAGTACTTTGCATTTACAGGCGTGAAGGAAAGAATGAAGCTCAATCAATAGCGCATGATTTTAGCTCCTCGAGCTTTTTGACATGGAAGCAAGTCCCAACTAATTTCCATCACAGGAGTAATTTCCTAAAATCATTCCTTTTCTAAGACCTAAATGTGAACAACTCCATCCATATTATCATAAAAAAGCTATTTTTGAATCACACATTTGACAGAAATTGGTTATAGTAGTATAGTAGTAAATGTAGTATATGAATATTTTCTCCTATGGTACTCAAAACCACTTTAAAAGTAAACAGAATGAAGTCCAGTCTTAGCTTTAGAGCGTTTAACGTGTGCCATTAAAGGGTTTATGTTTTAGATGTATGGTAAGGTAAGTAAAGTAAATCAGATCCATCCTTTGACAGTCTTTGTGTCAAGTGAAGTGTGAAGCCTTACTGTCAGATTGCGAATGTATGTGTCTGTCTCGCTGACTGGCTTGTTTCGTTTTCTTCCAGTGTTTCTTCAACCCCTTCGGGTGTCTCAGCAGGTATTCTCTTATCACTCCTAAATCACCATCTGACTGAATCCCTTTGTTTTAACGCCGTCGTGTGAAGAGATAAAAACAAGAATCTCTGACTAGGATGTTCACACGTTTTAGTTCTAGAACACGTTTTCTTTGATCAGCTTCAACCAATACTGTTTGACCTTCTTGTCAACTTTACTGATAAGAAGGTCAAGCTATTACCTGAGGATTTTTTTAAGAATAGACCATGTACATACAGCACAGGTTGAAAAGCAACACAAAAAAATCAAACACATCCTCATTCAATAGCAACTGTGAGTAGAAAGCAAACCACTTGGTGTAGCACAGTTGTACTAAATGTCCTTCTTTCATCTCTTGTGTTCCTGAGATAAGATAACTCAGAGAAGTCTAGAGGGGGAGGCTTGTTTGAAAGGCAAATGAATTCCTACACACGGCCTGGCTCGCTCCATAAATCAATGACATGTGGGGTTTTCCCAGATCAGAGGCTGCGAGCCAGCCGTTCGCGTATTGGTCCTGGGATGATAGGTGAAATGATGCTATCGCAAATTGTGGATCATTTGTTGATGATTTTTAAAATGCTGTTGAGCTTAGGAGAAAAAAAAAGAGAGAGCGAACACAAACAAACCAGTATACCCAGAGGGTGAACACTCCTTCCCTGTAAGCTAGCTATATTTATGAAACCTCTGAAGCGGAAAGGAGAGAGCTGGGTGGGGTGGTGGTGGTGATGGTTGGGGGGTGGAATCAGAGAGGCAGCAACACTGCCATGGCTGTTAAGATCCTGTTATGTTGTGGCGTGTTTAAGAGCTTTATTAATTCAATTTAGCACCACCAACCAATGTTCCGACAGTCAGCAGGCAGTGATACCGACTTGATATTTGCTCTAGGTGCTGAGGAGGTGCTGATAATATTCTAAGAGGATGATGATTTGAAGATTATTCAGGAAGTTGTACCCAACCATAAGTATTTGAACGAAATCAGGGATTTAGGAGAATAGTTAAGGAATTGTGAATTAGGATTCCTGTAAAGACACATAACCATTTAATCTTAATTTCAGTACATAGACTCCCTGGTTCCAGAGGATTTCAGGTATTTTAAGATGTGTTAAGATCAAAATGAAGTTCCCGTATCCTAAACAAATACTGTATGTGTCTCAAATATATCATTACAGCACATGCAAATCTTATAAAAGTATAATCCCACTGTCAAATTTCTGCTGGGTGATTACTTTCCAAGAAGCCGATGTCTATTTGCTCTGGAAACTGAGGTAGCAGGTAATACATCCCCTACAAACCGACCATGAACACAGTCTGGTAAAAGTCACTTTTGGTATTGGCCCCACTGGAAGTTGTTCTGAGTTTTAGCTGCTAAGACCAGATAATTTAGTTCTGTAATACATTAAGTCATAAAGACCATTATCTGCTGCAGGTATATTAACTGCTAAGCCTTTTAACAGAGCCTCATTCAAAACGTAAGTAAGAAAAAATCATGATAACATTTCTGTCTTAAGCTTTTCTCTGGCCAAAAAAAAAGCAAACTGCTAATGGTCTCTGCTCATTATCTTTAACATTCTTTTTAATGCCCACATCAGCCTCATGGGCAAGTGCATTTTATAAAGCTGTTGTGACCTTACAGGTTTGAATTGATTTAATAATGGCTATAATGTACTGAAGCGCAAAGCTAAGTTTAACACTAGGTTACGCTCTTACGGATTAGATCATATGTTTTTTTTTTTATATGTATGGATATATAACCTTTGTTCAAAAAACCTGAACTATCTTGTACATTCGAGCTACTTTTGTCCAAGTATCATTACAGCTAAAAACAGATGTTATAAAAAAAAGAGTAGTGAATACTCTTGTGTGTATACAAATATAATTTTGAGTTAGACTGATCTGTTTTCGAGAAATCCTCATTCAAGATTGAATTAAAGGTAGAATAGTTTGCTAACAAGCCCAATTTTACATCACTGACTTGCTAATATGACTCATTGCTCATCTCTGATTCAGATTTTTTTGTCCTTTTCTGCTTTTTATCTCCTTTGTACCATCCTGTCGTTTAGCTTTGCCATCTTGTGTGGTGTATATTTCTGGAAATGCAATTAATGAATTCCCTCCTTTTCCTGCGCCTTTTTCTCCCCTCCTCATGTGGAGCAACGCAACGCTCCATTAATTCTCAGCATTGCTGCCCATAATTGACTTTTCTCTGACATGATTCCTCTCTACAAAGTGAGTCCCCACCTTATTATATTATATATTTTTCAAAGTGATCTCATTCTATGTTGTTTACAGCAATATACGTGGTTTCAAGCAGTCATGCTGTTTGAGGACAGATGAAGAAGAGGGGGACAATAGGAGAAGAAATGAAATGTTGAAGAAAGAAGAAGGGGGAGAAAAACGGTGTGGACCCCTTTTGTGCCTCTCCTACTGTCAGGGCCCTAACAGCTTCTTGTCTCTATGTTACGCTCTGTGGCCCCCTCTCAAACCTGTGCTTCTCTCTTTCTCTTTCTCTCTCTCTGTCTCTCTTACACACACATACAAACACAAAATCAAGGCCATTATAGACCTCATGATTCCATTTTTCTCTCTCAGTCTGGATGCATTTATTTTTTAAAGTGCTCCTCTATTGACTCATTGTCATGGAGTGGCTTGACCAGTCAACCAGTTTAGGCCCTGGTTCAAATCCCTTCACTGACTGATTTAAACTTCACAAATGGGCAGTATGTGTTAAAATATCTGCACAAAACAATGTCCAAAAAGGCCCAAAAACAAAATGTAAAACCAATCAAAGTTGTATTTTCCCCCTCTCAAGCTTTTGAGCAAGGTTGTTATGATTCAGGTAGCTTACAGTGATCGCTCTTTGTGTCATGAACGTAGAGGCGATATTTCTTTCTCAGCTCTCACATACTCATCAGGTCTCCTTCTGCACTCATCCCACACCCACGCTACAATCACAAGTTATGACCTTTGCTTTCTTCATATAATTTATCACTGTAGCTCCCTGCTGCCTGTCCTCCCAGGAGCTCCTCTGGGTTCTGTGCAACATCGAGAAGAAAGAACAGTTTTGGGTCATGGCAACCTGACTGCAAACAGCATCGAGGTGTAACCTATTACTGCATGGTAACACCAGAAGAGAACTAACGTAATCTATAGATGTGGGGATTACTAATCAGAACTTAATCTGAGGCAAAAACTTCTACTGAAGCCAGATGCAATAGTTCATATGTGAGAGAAGGGTTGCTATGTATGTTTTGGGGCCCAGCTGCTATGAGAAAAGGAAAAATGCAGTGATCAGCTTTATACTACTTCATTATCTGACTTGCTAATTAGAATTTTGACTCAATCTGATTTTTATTCCCTGAAGAGCTATAATACATTAAAAGAAAAATATGCTGAAGGTTTTTTGATAAATGTAACTGTTTTGTATTCTAATAAAAAATATTATAGGACTTTTTTGTTCAGGAATAAACTTATGTATATCTACCAACTATAACTACTATGTCCTCAATCTCAGTTCTTTTGATTCCACTTCTTTTAAAATGCAGAAAGTTCTTATTTTTTTAATATAATTACATCAAAGGAAAAATAAATGACTTTTCAATATGTTCTTTGTTGTTTATCAACTTTTGACAGATTCCAAAACTGTGAGGCAATTTCATGTTCAGAAAACAACAACATTTCGTCCCTAATTTACTACAAACAACAGCAGAATATCATATTTTCTCATACAATCTTTAAATGATTATGGCTGAATTTATATTTGTGGTGCTTTTGGACCCCAAGGCCAGCTGAGTCCTCAATAAATCTCAAAATTCGCTCATATCTTAGTCTGCTATTAGCTGCGATTTATTTAAAAAAATAAATGAAACTTAAGAGTCCACACAGGAACTGGCAATAAATCCTGAAAATATAACAGAGTTGAAGAAACTTTTTTTTTACGCTCAGCAGTTGTCACCTAGTCCTCTCTTGACTTTTCTTGGCTTCAACTCCACAAGCCATAGGTTTAAACGACTGAGGGAGAACATGCTGTACAACGGGCTAATTTCCTCCACTTTACTATTAATGCATTTGGCAGGAACCACATTCCATTCCCCATAATGAGATACACAAATAAATCTGGCTATGGATAGATTCTGAGCTGGGTGGTGGGGATGAAGGTGTGAGGGAGGGGAGCGAGGTGCATTGAGACGCATACTCCCTACCCTGGCATAATTGGTATCACTGCTTGCAGACATGCAAACCAATCTCTCCACAGATAGGGTGAGACTCTCTCTTTCCCCCCCTTAAGGCTATTTCTTTTGTCTTTTCGATAGCTTGCACATCCAAGATACAGGGAGGGGATTGGGGGCGTACGGATGGGAGGGGTTGGTGGGTTGATTTGTGAATTAATAGCTTTTCTCCGCACAATTGCAAGATCTTTTTAAATGTCACTATATTTTAAATGAGAGAAGCATTTAAAACTGCAAACTCCCAAACACTGTTTCATGTAAAAGTAGGAGTAATATCCATAAATCCTAAAATGAAACACTGCCCCATTCCTGTTGAATCTGCCAGGAGCTGCCTTTTCCCTCCTTTCCTCACAAAACTGTTTTTTTTTTTGTTTTTTTTCTCTTACGTGAGCTGTCCGGTGTAACATGCTACTTTTAATTTGCAATAACACATGACAAGGACAGATTAATAGCTCTTATGGCACCGGCGTCCCTGAGGCTCATCTTACAGGGTACCAGGTGTACATAACGCGTGTCACACTACATTATCTCTACAGCCCTGCAGTAATGGGGACCTTTTTCTTCCTGAAAGGGCAACCACTGACTTAAGTCATACAAGACCCACAAGCCAACACCTTAGTGGAACAATCCATAGTAGGAACATACCATACCTTCCTATAAAAGAACATCTGTAAGGTTTGAGAATATGCAGAGAAAATCACATGATAAATTCAAATTTAGAACAGTTTGCTTTTCTTTTGCAAAACATACAGTGAATACCAAGGAATCCTCCGCAAAGCGTTTTAATGAGGAACAAAAAAATCTTAGCAGAACTTAGTCTTTTGTTTTTTAGATTTCTATCTGGTTATTTATACATTAAGGAATTTACTTGGTTACCGTGTAGTTTAATTGTTTTGTAATTTACTACACTAAAGAAATTTTGATTCAATTAAAGACTGTTGGTTGCAGCTGAAATCATTCCCGAGTGCTTTAGGGATACACAATATATCAATTCAAGCCCATCTTAAAAAAGTTCAAATGCAGCAAAAAAAAAAAGAAAAAAATATAAAATAAACACATTTCCTTCAAAAAACTGAAGAGATGCTCACTTAAGAAAAATCAAACAAGGAATTCTTTGTAAAATGTATCTTATGACAGACCACAATGAGAATGTATAGGGTAGAAATACCTGTAGCTTTAAAACATCAGTGAGTCATCTGCGTAAAGTTGACTAAGTTAAGGTAATGTGGCTTTACTCACCTTCTTCTTGCTGTTACCATTAAACATTTCTACTTCTAGAAATGTACTGGACTGTCTTATTATGAAACCTTTTATATTGTAGTGCTATAAAGTTTGATTAAAAAAATTAAGATATGTCAGTTTTTAGATTCGGATAAAAAAGAAACAAAGCAGGCTATTCTTATTTTTAAGAAAAAGTGACAATGCAGCCAAACATAATGATCCATAATTCTATATCATACTACAAAAAAATAGAGATTTTAATTTAAGGACAAAGATATTTCTCACAATATACTCCATTTATTATTCACTATAAATATATAAACGCTGCTGTTTGATGTTAATAAAAAAAAAACACAGAATAGATTAGTATTGAACTGCCTGCTATTAGATGGAAAATATGATTTTCCACAGTTGCTTTAGGTTAATTTAATTTAATTACTCTGGAGATTATTTATTGGAAAAAAATATTTTCCCGCCACACTTGGTGAGCAACAAACAAGGATAAATAAATAAATAAATAAATAAATAAATAAATAAATAAAAGCTGTAGGTAAGAGGGGAGGATATGTGGTTGAATTGATTGAGCAAAGCAAACAAGAAAAAAAGGTTGTCTAACTTCAACTTACAATGTCCTATTTTCCTTCCATCCAAGTGGTTGCCACTCCAGAGAACTAAAGAGACAGAAACATAAAAGGAAAGGAAGTGGCCTGTTTTCATCAGTGCTCTCTGAGATCATTTTAAAGCACATCATCCCAACCAACATCCGTGATGTGCCCACACAAACACACACACACACACACACACACACACACACACAGCCGCTGCCCTGCCTCCGCCGGTCTGTTCCTACACCTGTTCAGGCCTCCACCGGGGACATGTTAATTCATAGGCATTAAAAAAGCCAATTGTTTGCACAACCGATAATCTATTAGCCCTTGGGCATTGTGTGTCCATTCTCCTGCTCTGCCCAGGAATGATGGAAAAAAAAACAAACTCTTGGCTTTAACTGGAAAACCTTTCAAATAATCTTTGAATGTGTGTACACCTGCTCTCTTGCCAATTCTTGGGTTCTTTTTTTAGTAAAATACACTTTTTATTCTTCTTTTTCAAAAGGCAAAAGCAAAACATCCCTGCTGTGTTACGTAGAGCAAAAAATGAAATGACTGAAGGTTAATTGATGATATCTAGATCGCAGAGGAGGTTTTTCTGCCTTTTGTGAGTTCATGGGGATAGAGGCAGCAATACTGATGACTCGTCAAGGGAGATTAGACGTGTAATGACAGCTATATGCAGTGTGAGTGGTGTCAAATAGAGATATTTCTCTGTAGCCATATATCTGTATGGTTAAAATGAAGCTGATTGGATCAAAGTGGTCTCTGAACATTCAGGTCCGCCCGATGTAACACCATAACAAGTCACAGGAGACAACATACAGAAGCCCTGTCTTGGCTGCAGTGCTATCATAAATGCCAACTTTTTCACACACAGCGGGAAAAAAAAGTGGGAAAAGAGAGATGAGATGGATTAAAAAGGCTGAAAAAAAAAAGCAAACAAAGGGATTTTGTCTTTTCCCTTACCATCATCCCGTTTCCTCTTCTCGCTGTTGGAGCGGGGGATACCAAGAATGCCATTGATAGAGTAGGATCCAACTGGATTGTTCGAGGCACTGGTCACGGGAGGCGAGGCTGTGCTGGGCACTGATGGTGAAAGTTGTGTTAGTGTGTGTGCACACTTGATCTTGTTTCAAATTTTTCAAAGTTTTTCTTTCTCCACCAATTGTCTTTTTTGTTTTGCCCTTTAATCTGCTTCATTAATTCGCTCACCTATGGTGTGGCCGGGTGTGGAGAGTGGCGTGACAGATCCATCAGGGGACGGGTGGAATTGCTGCTGGACTTTAGTGCGGATAATCCTGATAAAGTGAACAACAGACACGGATCAATCAATAGCGGTTTGGACAGTGTGCAGACTTCACATCAAACCAGCCCAGCCTTGAACGCTTAAACACGCCGTATCACATCCACTTTATGTCTGTGCATGTACAAAGCGCTCCTGCCATTTGTAGACTTGCGTATATCCTCATATTCTGACCTGTCCCTGTCACAAATAGCCAATCTCTGGGCTTTAGGTCCAATCTCTCTGCTACTTGTGTGCAGCTGAATAAGGGCTGCCCCCTGGAGATTGTGGATTCAATCTAGTTGGATTCTGAGGTTAGAAATATGATAAAGTCCCCCATACAAGTAAGATGTGATGTGGCGGGAAAGTCTTCATTGCACTTTGGTCTGAATGATCTTGCAAACAAAGCATGAAATCACATCAATTCACCTCAATGATCAGCTTCACTGGCTCTACCTGGCCAACTCTAATAATCTCCCTCTCCTGCACCCCACACACTCTCTTTTCTCTCTCACTCTATATCTGGAAGCTGATCTCTCTTCTTCAAGCACTTTTATTATTTCTCCACCCTTTTCTGTCTAGCATTGCCATACTGTACTTTATAAAAGCCATTTCTCAAACCAAATTTCTCCTCGGTATTCCTTTATTTTTCTTTCTCCAATCCTCTCACCAATGTATATATTTCTTAAGAGTATTTTTTTTTTTTTACTGCCTAAATATTGTGTAGTCTATTGACTGGAACCCCCAGGCAGAGAAGTTGACGACAGCTGCTTGGAGAGAAACAGCAAATGCAAATTGTGATCTATAAATTAAATATGACAGGTTAGCAATAGTGTCTCGGTGGCTCAAGCAGAGTCCAACACCACATCCAGTGTGTTTAAATCCTTTCTTCACTTCTAAACAATAAACACATCTATATATATATATAAATACAAAACAAAAAAACTGAAGTGTAAACTCTAAGGAAAGCTTTGATCAAATCATGCTGCCATTCTGTAAAATCTTCTCTTCTGGGACATGATCACATTGAGACATTACTATAGTGATCTTTTGATTGACAGGAGAACATGAGATCATTCATTAACAGACAGCGACATAATCCCACATGGAATTACATCTGGCTGCAAACATGTGTCAAGAACAGACATTTACAGGCTGCAGATGAGGTGACTGACACTAAGCGTGCACAAAGTCACCAGGAATCCATCAGCTAAAGGGTTAAACTTAGACTCTTTTCATTCTCCACACTATCTCACTTTGTCCTCCACTACTCTCTCCTTCAGGCAGGGCAACAAAAGGCAAGTAGCCTCCTCCAGAAAATCCCACATCAATATTTTATTTGAATTTCCAACATCTCATCACAACAGTTATCTGACCTCATGACTTGAGGGAGTCTCGTAAATTCAAGGACTTTTGTTTCGAGTTGTGTGTTGCTCGTATTGAAAAAGCAATCTGAGCTGGTGAGCTAATGACTTTGCTGTTACTCTGCTGTGTAAAAAATAGAATATGTTGAGTAAAAGCCATCAAACTACTTTTCAATGCAGATGGAAAGCTTATTATTAATTTTCTCCATCAGGAAGGAGACTAGAAACAAACTACAACCTGTCTTTTGTCATCTTTAAAAATCAATAATGGGAAATTATGTTTAAAACTAAGCGGTTTTGTCAAAAGAGCAGGAATTAGACACCTTAACAGTAGACCACCACTAGAGTTAATTCATATCCTCCAGTGAATTAATTTTATTATTCCTTTTCTAGAATCTTCTTACAATAATAACACTAAACACATTCTAATACTTTACCATTTTGTGTTTCTGGAATTCAATTTAACTTTATAATGTTTTAACAAAAAAAGTTCAATAAAGAAATACTCTTTATATCTGAATAGATCAGAGGAATAAATTCCCTCTGAGAACTTAGTGTTGTTTGGCTTTATCTGAGTTGTTAATTATTAATAAAAAGACTAGAAAACACCTTGGTTTCTATGGACACAGACTTCCTTATAACAAATAAATTCTAAAGTTTCCAACAGTAACATAAAACAAAACAGTAACAAATAAATTAAATAACCAGTGTCAATAACCAGATGAGAAAAAAGAACTGCTTTGATGAATGTGTGGAAAAACAGAAAGAAAATCCTTCTTTTCTGTTTTCTTTCATCAGTTTTCATACATGTTCCTTGATTTTAACTGGTTGTGTTATGAGACTGTTTTCATCTCATTAAAATGTAATGCTCTGGATCAGCTCTCTGGAACAGTGCCTTCTAACTAAGGTTCATTACTGGCTAGGGGACTTTTTCTTTAATTCTGCAGCCTTTCAGCCCGTTTTTTTTAAAACCAGAACCTTTATATCTAAAGAAAAGACTTAGAGTGGATATTATTTTAAATAATAAAAATGCGTTTTTTTCTTTCACTACCTTTTAGGACTTTTCAAGAATCAGTTACTTTTTATTTCACAATAACTAAAAAACAACAACATTATATTTGGTATTAATTTGAACATTATATTTGACAGTCGTGGATATTAGTGAGGGGGCTCCATGTCAGTGTGGTCCGCGTATTGAGCGTCTGTGTTGGGTATTTCCCTCCGCCTCTGGATCTGGTTACGCAGGTATCGATCGGTTTTTATCGAGACAGATGTGATCCTTCGGGGCCCCACGGTGCCTCCGTGTTGTGGAGGGCCGCACATCGGGGATTGAATTGCACTTACTTGACCACCCCCGGTCAACCTCGGCAGCCAAATATATTCCGCCAGTCATTCATTTTTGTTTATTTCTATCTTTTATTTATTTATTTTTTTTAGTTTTTCTTATAGAAAATAAAAAAATAAAAGATTCCTTTAAAATAAGGAAATAATTTTATCTGAGCGCACTTTTAAGATAAATTTTGCCACACGCTGAATAAATGAATAATAAAGAACAAATTGCACCAACCTGTTGATGGATGAAACACTTGGAACAGTGTCGTTGTCGCAGACCCCTTCAGCCAGTAATCGGTCCCTTATCTCCCAGGCAAACATGGTGGGATTCTGGCGCTTGTACTCTGCGATTTTATCCACCACTTTCGGAGTTGCGACCTTTGGTTTGGAGCCACCGATGACTCCGGGTTTAATACTGCCGGTCTCGTAGTACCTGCATTGGGGACAAATGGACCCTTCCTGAATGGATTCCCGCCTCCGTTCATTAAATGTAATATGATAAATAAGAAAGGTGGCTTTTTAACATATTAACAACGCTTATTCCATCGGCTTTTTTGCAGTTATGTACATTTATTGCAAATAATTACCCACGAATAGAATATATTAATTGGTCCAGGAGCATTTTAGGGGGCTAATTAAGCGTCAGCTGGAAGGCGAGCATAAAATATTTTAATTAAAATAAAATATAGGGCAGACAGGACAAAACAAATGCTTTAAGAGCACATTATTATTATTTTTTTTATTCTAGTTTTCCCCTCTATCAGTAGCATGCACCAAATGCCACCGTGCCCAATTGGTAAATGTAGGTGACAAACATTCAGTGTGTGTGAAATGAAATACCTCTGAAATGCCTTCTGATAGCTGAAAAAAATATATGTCAAAATTATTGGTGCTCTTAAGAAAAAAAAAACCTATTTAGATGTTCGCATGTGTTTTTTTTCCCCTGTCAATATGAACTGCAAATTACTTAAATAGGATCTGAATTCCTACACATTCTCATGTTTCTTTTAATCATAAAAGTTTAAGAATCTCTCCATTTTTTTCTGACAATATTGTGACGTTTTTCCATTGCGAGGAGGCAAAATCCGCCACTTAATTAAAGAATGATGAATGAAATGAAAGCTCAAGAAGAGATCTTGGCTGAAGCTGTGAGAGATCAAGATGCGCATATATATTCTACAAAAAAAAAAAAAAAAAAAAAAAGATGCCTGAAAAACACGCACGCTCACGCACACACTGGATGATGGGCCCTCCTCTCTTTTACCTGCCGAGGATTTTGCTGACACAGCCGTGACTGACCCGTAGCTGTCGGGAGATGTCGCAGGGCCGGACGCCCTGGTGGGCTAACTCCACAATCCTCTGCCGCACCACGTCCGGGAGGGGTCTGCCGTTCACAAACACCCCGCCGAGCTGGTTCACACCGCCGTGCCCTGCGTGGGATACAACAACAACGCGAGGAGGGGGACATAACATTACATACCCGCAGACAGGACACACACTGCTGTTTATGCATGTCCGTTTAATGCAGTTTTCAGTTTGCATCAAAATCTTATAAAAAGAGTATAGCATCATTATTATTATTTTATATATGGGCTGATAAAATAAATATTTTTCGTTTTTATCATATAGGAAATTGAAGAAAAAAAAATCCTGTTTTTTTTAAATAATATTTTTTTTCCCCCATGAGCATATCCCCCTCTGCAGCTTAACACATGTCGTACTTATCATGTTTCCTACCTGTTTAATTTTCCTCGCTACAATTATTGTAAATAATTAAAATAAGCTTTGATAACTCATATTACCAACGCGGATTGTGCGAAGGAGGGCATATCAATAATTTAGTGACAGCCCGGGTCTTCTTTTACCCATATCATAGGTCTATGGAGTAAAGAAAAAAATAAAAATGAAAGGATAGAAGAAAAACAATGAACCAGCTCACTTTTACATTTGCATCACCCTCACCTTAAAGTGAAACAAATAGTGAATAATGGGACACGTTTACCTGCATTTACACACAGCGAGATCTCGTTTGCTCACAATGAGGCTCCTATTGCCCCAGGTAATAAAAAGCTCTGTATTTAAATCGAGGTGTTCATAATTTAAATAAGAAGCTTTACAAGTTAGTAATTAATAATATAATGTAAAAACATACACATGTTTCAGTGAAGCCTGTCTTAAAAAAATTGGCATATATAGCTATATTTTTTTTTTAATTCCTAGTCACATGAATAATATTTTTCTGTGGTTTGAACTTACATGTATTAATAAAAAAAGCAATTTCTATAAGAAAAAAAGATGCATTCATAAGAAGGTTGCAAGAAAACATGCAATTTTTGTTTTAAGTAAACGTTTGGAGATTTTTAATTGAAAAAAGTTAGCAAAAAGCTTTAAAACCACAATCTGTTTAAGATGTGCATCTTTTTAATCGTTAGTCTTGTCTTTTTTTTGTGGGAATTGGCTAACTTCCGCGGATAATCTAATTTAAGGCGGAGTGAAAGCCACATCACAGAGATGTTTCGCTCTATAAACTAATTCAGCATACTCACGGTGCATAGCCGAGAAGGGGTCTGCTTTGCAGTGAATATCCATGGGATAGCAAAGGAAAGAAAGGTAATCGACTGTGGTCGCCGTTTCGCCTTTGTGATGCAGCTTTAAACAAATAAAAAAAAGAAATAAATAGGGATTTGTTTTGGTGAAGAACAAAAAAACAGTCCGCGTTGGATGGAGTCCGCTTGTGCTTCAACTTCTTAAGTTTTTTTCCCTTAAAAAAACAACAACAAAAAAAACAAAAAAAGTATAGAAGAGAGCCTGTCAGGTGCAGCGCATGACCCACGCGTGTGCAAAGCGCACCGGCTGCCTCAACATTTGGCTCTAAAACTTGTATCACTCTGCGTGTTTGGAGGACATCGTGAGGGAAACGAAACGAGCCGGTATATAAACTGTGAGGCTCCACTCAGACGAAGGAAGAAAGGAATAAAAAGAGAAAATCCTCTCCCCCCTCCTTCTCTCCTGTGACAGCGTGCTGGACCGGCGGTGCTGTGCGCTTCAGTCAGATAAGGGGCGGAGATGACAACAGCAACATGGACAGAGAGGAGACAGAGCACTGCGTCCACCCTCAACCTCCGGAACGGGGCTGTGCCTGCATGAAGCTTTGGGTTTAGAATGAAACCCCTCTTCTCCTGTGTCTGTTTCTAAAAGCCGCAGTCCCACAGATCCCCCCCATCACCCCCCACTAAAACCCCCTCCTCTCCTCCTTGCCTACCTCCATCCCACAGATCCCCTTGCATAGAGATGGATGACTTGTCAGACAAAGGCAATAGATTCCAACACTTTGTGATTCGCCAACGTAAAAAAAAAAAACCTGCAGCTCAAATGAGGAGGTCCCTGCATCCGACAGCCAGGAAGGGGAGGGAGACGGAATGGGAAATGATGAGACTTTGGGGTGAAGAATCAAGGAAATTAAAGGCATTGGAGTAGATGAGATGTTAGGATGTGTTCTATCAGATGTTTACACGAAAAGAACCGATATGGGATGCTTACATGTTTGGATGCAAGAAACATTTTTTTTTTTAGGATTGCATAACAAAATACTTCAGATTTTTACACACCTGCATTGTGGATTCATTGCCTGGTTCGCTTAAAAATCTTCATAAAAAAAAAAAAAACTACTATAAGTGACAAGAAAGTATAGTTTCTTCTGTAGGCTGCCTTTTGTGTGCGCATTTGATCGGATATGTTCAGAGAAGAAGGTGAAAGAGAGTCAGTCAGTAGGCCATCATCATCACCATCATCATCATCATCTAGTTGCCTGTGCTCGCTTCTACTCTGTAGATGGCGCTCATACAGAAGGATAGACAGCCCGCTGTGCGGAGCTGGTTTCTACATGCAAGCTGGAGCTGCTGAGGCCGGCCGGGCCAAAGGTTGAAGCTGAGGGGAAATTACGCGCCCGAATCACCTCCGGAAGTCGAAAAAGAAATGAAAAGAAAACATTCAAGATGCTCGTAAATTAAGATATGTAGAGATTGGAGTAACATCTATGAGGTTATCAGTACGTTCCCTTATAAAACAAATAGTCAAAATTCAAGCAATTACATTTGCGAAACTGGATTACTCTGATTGATTTCAATATTTTTAATTAGAAAATAAAGTTCCCTATTTTATTATTTAAACTAATTTAATTTATAGGTAACAGTTTGTTTGTTATTCAAAGGATCAAAGAAAGAATATCAATTATTTTAGGTCACAAGCAATATGTTTTAGAAATAAATGTTAAAAGCCTATGTAGGCTGGTAGTTCTAGTTAAGCAGTTCAAATGAAACATCATTAGTTCAACTTTTTTATTTTCTTTTTTGTTTCTGCATTTTTTTATTTTTATTTTCTACTTGCTTTAATGCTGTTTTATTTTCCTATATTTTAATCATGTAAAGCACTTCGCATTGTCTTTGTACTGAATTGTGCTATACAAATGAATTTGCCTTGCCTTGCCTTGCCTTGGTATGTCTCTCCTTTCCCTTTCTACCAGAGCAAGTGGGCAACCTCCTTAGGTGTATGGGCTCGATTTGTTACACTTAAAAATGAATTTCGTAATGTTTTGAGTATTATTAAATCATTTAGATTTGATGTAACATGTTGTAGATGTAATATCCAATAATGGCTAACTCCTAACACCTATTTGGAGAAATATATAAAAAAGGAACAATTTAATGAAGATGTTGACCTTTGTGTGCAGTGGCCAACAGACCACATGAAGGTTGTAATAATTGTAAATATATCAACTTGTCACTTCTGGCCTTATGAGAGTTTGTAAGTAACAAACTTTCATAACACTTGCTATTCAGAAAATGCTTTTTGCTTTTTGTGGCAAGAGCTGTATTTTGCATCCAACTCCAACAGAGCTAAGATCAAGCAACAATATGAGCCTCATGCAGGAAGTTCTTAATGCAAATAAGCAGCATCTATTGGCTGATGCTTTCAGGAACTTTTTTTTGCTTCTCATATTAAATTTAAGGTTTATCTCAGTAATAATGTAGCCCATACCTTAACCAGCTAACTGACAATAACTTACTTGTCACATAGATTAGCAAAATATAAATGATACAAACTCCATGTGTAGGTCAGTATAAAACATAATAGTTAGAACTAGAACTAGAAAAGAACAAAAAATTTATAAATTTTGGTAGATATAAAATAAACTACTGAATTGTAATTTTTTTCGCTGAATAAGTACAATTTTAAATTCATGAAAATTGTATGTATTTAGGTATCTTTTAGTTGGATTTTAATAATTTCTACTCAAAAATATAGCTAAAAACCAACCAAATTAAATATACAGAAATATTGATATTGGTTGAAAATGAACAGTTTGCTATATCATTGCAAAAATTGGTTTGTCAACAAGGAAAACAATTTTCCATTTAAAGAAAGTTAACAAAGTTATGAACATTTTCATGACTATTTACTAAAAATCAATTAGCTGTGATAAAAGTTAAAGAAGGAATGAAAGGAGAGTCCCCACTCACCACACCATTAAAGTCACCCTATTAAAAACTTTCTCTAAGTTTTTGGTTAATTTAATTCAAAATACCAACCAGATGAAAAAATATTTTAGCCACTATCTGCTCCATGCTGCACACCAATAACACTTTATTGAACCAATGTCTTTCAATACTTTTGATTCAAAATGCCAAAGTAGGCAGTGTTTTTATTAAAAAGAAGCCAAGAATGAGGGAGCCGTTATCTTAAACCAATGTGCCTGATTTTAATGTAATTATAATGGTCTACCCAAAGTTAATTTCTATAGTGTAACCCACACAATTTATTATTTGCATCGATTTGCTTAGATTTGACTTTAATCAGATATATAGTAACGTTACCATCAGTGGCTGTTGTTTTCTAGAAGTTTAATAGACTAATGGCTGCTCGGTGCGTCCATCGTTCCCCTCTGGACAAGTTTGAGGACGATCCCTCTTGTTGTTTCTGCATTTTTTTTTTTTTTTTTCATTTTGAAAGGGGGTGGAAAGGAGCTTCTGGTACAATATGTAGCACCATCGGCTGTAATTTCACACGTCAGTGCACTTTTGCCCTAAAGCTGCTGCTATTTCGCCCACAACAGCCCTATTTGCCCCCGTATACCTCTCCGCACTGCTTCCATAACGTCCCCGTGTCACGGCGCTACAGCAAAACAAACGGCGCGATGATTAAGAAGCTGTTAGTCATGACTTCAGCCCTCCCTCTTAAAAAAAAAAAAAAAAGGTCCGGGCCACTGAAGGGCCTGCATGGAGAGATCAGCCTTTTCGGGTTTTGTGCAATAAAGATCTCTGGAACAGCAGCTTTAAAGTGTTTCAGACTCTTTAGTGTCACACAGATTTCCATAATTCCTAATGATTTAAATGTTTTTAAAGCAAGCAACAAAGCAGAATAACTAAACAAAAATAGAAAATATTAGAAAATAGTTAATTTGTGATGATCTATAAAATAAGGAAAATGGATAAGGAAAAAGTTGAAAGGTGTAAATGTAGTGGAGGGTGACAAATTCTCATGGAGAGGCGAGCAAATCTTTTACTTCCGTTTACAAACATATGGGCCGTGATGCACGCATAGGCACCGATCGATAAGGCTCTTGTTTTCTGATAGTCATCAGAACCCATTCATGCTTCCCATAACCAGTCTAAAGTCATTTTTGGATGATTTATAATATTTCAATATGAAGTTTTATTTACCTTAAAATATAAACCTGAATATATAAATGTATTGCATAATTACAGATTAACAATGCAGTTTATCTGCAATTTCCCTGATACGTTTTGAATATAAAAAAAGTTATTGCATTCGATGCATTATATCTGCAAAAATCTAACTATAGACTTAAGATAAACGACTAAACTTTACAGGCCGTGACCCTTCAGAGTGAAGAAAACCTCAGTTTTCTATTTGTATCCCCTCACCTATTAGTTAAAACATCAGCATCATATCAAGAGTCCCTTGCAGCATCCCACAATGATTTGGAGTCTCCTGACACTGGAAGCCATATGGATAGGCTCTGCCACTCTGCAGGATATCAGCTGCGTCCTCAGATTGCCTATTCATGTGCTCTATAACGGGAGCAGATGGATATCAATTTGACTCTATTCTCGACACCATCCCAGATTGATTTTGTACTTGCTTTTAATTTTGCCATAATTAATTAGATCATTACAACAGTTTTCCCATTGATCTTTCCCAGTTTAACCCCCCAAATTGAGAGGTGAATTAGGTAGTGATCTATACCTTTAATTAAGGTAATAAAAAAAAATATTCGAAAGATAATTATAATAATAGTAATAATAATAATAATAATATTGCCCAACGTTTTGACCTGAATAAACAAGTTAAATACCATAATCATTTACAAAAAAAAAAAAAAAAATGCTTTGTTTTGTTCAATTGCTTGAATAACATTCAGATGATTTTTTTAAGCAAATGTCTGATACCTGAAAACAAATGCTGACATTAGTGTGAGGCAGAGACGCAAAGATCTTTACCTGATCGACCCGCGCTGTGAGGCATGGCTCTCCCTTGTCTAATGGAGCGTCTCCCTCCGACGCAGCCCAGTAGATCTGCCCGGCCTCCCGCGCTCACTCCCCGGCCGGGTGTGCGCGCTTCTCCCCGCTGGTTGTCAGAATCTTTGACCGATCATCCAAAACTAAACGGTTTGGGCGACAACAAAAAGAGGAAGCAACCCTGCTCCAATGAGCTACGAACTGATAAAGTAGAGAGCAAAAAAAAAAAAAAAAGTCAGAATTAAATTGAAGTGTAAAACTCGCCAACGACAAATAAAAAATAAGACTTTATTTTGCATACAGCTGCACCCCTACAATTTAACACAGTGCGATGAAAATGAATCTGTACTGTTCCCTTCTTTATTCTTTAATATGATCTTGTTCCTATACAAATAGAATATGTTATTAATAATGTGGTTTTCTCTTACCGGTAATCTTAATACAGCGAATGATACAATAATTAGTCCTGTATTTATGCATGATTTGTTTTTAAACCTGCAGCAGAACTGAGCAGTCAGAAAAGCTTATTATACAGTAAAGTTTCTTTGTGTGTTTAACATTGTCCGAGTATACTAAAAATGTATAAAGGGAGAGTATAAAACTTAGTAAGTGGAACATTAACAGATGAATAACCAGTAAAAA